ATAAGCCTGTGTTAGGTAAAAATCCAGAAGAACAGACAGCCACAAGCCATCCCTGTTACTGTTGTGCCACTCAAACTATGGGGAGGAGATGTCTTGTCAGTGTGGGGGGTTTGGCTGGGAATGGATTTTTAACAGGGGCCACTGTGCTGAAGGGTGTAAGGCAACCTACATTAGCTATAAAATGACTCACATAATGACCTGTGTGGGTTGGTCAGTGGCCCCTTGAAAAAGAAAAACTAGACACCCTTTAGTTGTTGGTTCAAGAACAATTAAATCAAGGACATACTGAGCCATCAACAAGTCCATGGAAGATCCCTGTGTTTGTGATTAAAAAGAAATCAGGTAAATGGAAGTTACTCCATGACTTAAGAAAAATTAATACATTTGGGGAAAGTATGGGTGCTTTACAGCCCGGAATGCCATCCCCTACTATGATACCTGCTACTTGGGACATTCTGATTGTGAATTTAAAAGACTGTTTCTTTCCCATTCCTTTACATCCTGATGATATCCCAAAGTTTGCATTTACAGTGTCCTCTGTCAATCATGCAGCACCAGTCAAACAATATCAATGGAAAGTGCTGACACAGGACATGAAAAATAGTCCAATAATTTGCCTATGGTATGTTGCACAGACACTATCGGCAGTAAGAGAACAATTCCCAGGAGCTTATTGTTATCATTACATGGATGACATTCTAGTAGCAACTTCAACCAAGGAAGGCCTTTTACATGTTCAGCCAAAATTGATGCAAGCCCTGCAAGAGTTCAGGTTGCAACTTGCACCTGAAAAGGTGCAACAACAATCCCCATGGCAATACTTAGGAGTTAAAATATTAGAGCAAACAATACAGCCACAAACAATTCAATTTTCAAGCAAGATCCAAACTTTAAATGATGCACAAAAATTTTTTGGTATCATCAACTGGGTATGACCCTATTTAGGGTTAACTACCCCACAATTATCACCCTTGTTTAATATTCTGAAAGGTGACACTGAGTTAACTTCTCCAAATGTTGTAGTTTAACATAGCTTGGCTTTTAGTTAAAACCTCTTTTGCCCTCCTCCTAATCCTTATCTCGCAACAGAAAATGAATAAATAATTCTAGTGGATGCACTGGCGTTTGGCCAGCACTAGACCCACTGCACCAAGGAAATTGGCTCCAGAAGCAAAAGCTGCACTTGAAGCAGTGGAGAGGGCCATAACAAACAGACAATTTTATTGACTATGTCCTGAGGTTTCTATTACAATATTCATTGTAATTGCTGATTTGCATGCTACAGGTATTATTGGTCAAGGGGACACTCAGTGGTCTGGCCCACTACATATTTTAGAATGGGTCTTTTTGCCCCACCAACCTAAAAAGACAGCACCCACTATTTTTTAATTGATTGCACAATTAATTATTAAATACCATCAGAGATATGTACAGCTGAATGCCAGGGATCCCTCTAAGATTATCGTTCCAGTACAACAAGAATACCTAGAATGGTGCTTTGCAAACAGCACAGCACTACAAAGTGCCTTACAAAACTTTAAGGGGCAAATTACTTATCATCTGCCCAGTCACAAACTGTTGCAACTGAGTGGGACCACTGTGTTGTCTTTGAAACTGCTAAATAATGACACAGCCTTGAAAGGTCTCAGTGTTTTTACTGATGAGTCTGGGAAAACAGGAAAAGCCATGGTGACCTGGAAAGATGAGAATGGATGGCAAACACTAGAGGATCTGGATAGCGGATCACCTCAGCTAGTTGAATTACTTGCTGTAGCCATGGCTTTTGAACATTTCCCCTCATGTTCCCTTAAATATTATAACTGATTCTGCTTATGTTTCAGACATCACACAACGATTGGACCGGGCATTATTAAAAGAAATTGATAATACTGCACTATTTGAATTGTTAAAAACTTTGTGGCATGTAATCCAAGCCAGAACTTGTCTCTGTTATGTGTTGCATGTTCAGAGTCAATACAAATTTGCCTGGCTTTATAGCAGAAGGTAATGCCTGAGCTGACTGGTTAGCCAGCCCTGCCTGGACAGCACCACAGCCAGACATGCTGGCACAAGGAAGAGCATCACGTACCTTTTTCACCAAGGTGTTCAGGCCTTACAAAATCAACAACAGCAACAAACAACACAAAAGTGTTGTTAATACCTGTGCTGATTGTCAAGGCCACACTGCACCACTGCAGATGGGTGTTAACCCCCGTGGTCTGCGAGCATTACAAGCTGGGCAGACAAATGTTACACACGTTTCTGAATTTGGTCGTCTAAAGTATGTACACGTTTTAGTAGACACCTTTCCATCTGCTATATGGGCCTCAGTTTGTGCAGGAGATAAAAGGCATGATGCTATCACACACTGGCAGTTAGCCCTTGCTCTCCTAGGCATTTGCCACACCATTAAAATTGATAATGACCCCGCTTATATCTCACACAAAACTCATCAATTCTTGCAATTATGGGGTGTGTCACATATCACTGGCATTCCTCATTCCCCTACAGGCCAAGCCATTGTTGAGCATGCCCACGGCACTTTGAAGCGCATCCTCAAAAAGCAAAAAGGGAGAATGTCTGGTGAAATTCCGCGAAGTAGGGTGGCCAAAGCTCTGTATACACTGAATCACCTTATGATATTTCCAGAATCCCAAAACCCTATTATTTTAAATATTTTTTTTTGTTGCTGCAGTCCTCTAGTGATGTCCATTTGACCAAGGCTAAGGTATGGGTATGGGACCTCATTACCAACAAGTGGGAAGGTCCTTGGGACCTTGTCCCTTAGGAGCGCAGGTATGATTGTGTTTCTACAGATGCTGGAGTTTGATGGATACCTGTCCGTGTGTGTGTGCCCTGCTCTGCGCTCTGCTCTGGATCACCACCAGCAGTGCCTCCCTGACAGCCCCTCAGCTGATGCTGAGGAACACTAACCATGTCTGGGGATCCATGCATTGAATCAGATGCGATTTGTGCATCCATGGCACAACCAGAACAACCTTTTCACACCTGCTTAGTGGGAGAATGCTTGAATGGCACACAAAATGTACAAGTAACACAAAATGTCAAAATGCCACGCTCTTCCCAGAGCAACTGTAATACCACAGCCTGCTGGATGGAACTGTGGGATCTTTGCGATGACAATTTACCTGCTGCTTCACTTGAACCCCAAGAGTTAGATGTTTTAGGGACATTATTAGCAGAAGGATGTGTATTTTTTAATTATACACTGGGATATGATATGTGGGACCAAATTGGAACAGGAAACCAAAATGTTACCACTGATAATTTTTCAATTAAATAGATTGGCTTGCTTTGTAGCAAAAAGAGTAAATGAAACCTCTTCCTTAATTTTGAATGTTTTGTCAATGGATGTAGATAGCGTGCAGCATGCTCTTGATTTTCTTTTGTTAGCTCATGGACATGGTTGTGAAGAGTTTGATGGCATGTGTTATATGGAGGATTTTCTGGGATAGATCACTGGCTGGAAGGGTTAGGTTTATCAAGCTGGGTGAAGAGCTTCATTCAAACTGGGTTAATAGTTTTTTGTATTATCGTATTTATTTTGCTCATTGTGCCATATTTTTTATCCTGTCTGCAAAGGGCTCTGCAGAGGCTGATAAAGACTGCCTCTGTAGTGAAAAAACAAAAAGGGGGAATTATGATGGCTAACAGCTGGCCTGAAGGCTTCACAGACACAAGTAACCCTGACCTTGTCTTGATCAGCCTGTACCTGTGAGAAAAGGAAGTGAGCATCTTTCAGGAATAAAGCCCTGAAAAGCAGAAGGACTTAACTGTGAGGAATGGATGCAGGCAAAATCTTTGGTGAGCAAATGCGAGGGCAGATATTGCCCAGTGAACTGGGGGCAGCAAGTTACCAGCCAACTGGGATTGAACGTGCTGCTTTTGAAAATCATATAAACACAAGCTGTGAACAATAAAGATCACTATTGCCTCTTGAACCTTGGGATGTTGTGTCCCTCTCTACTGCGACATGAGGACATGGGAAGTGTTCAATGCTGTTCATGATGTGGAAGCCTATATCATATTTATATATGCTAATGAGTTTAATGGCTTAACTCAGTGTGTTTACACAAAACCACAAGCTACCTGTCTTAGGGTGCTGTTTGCTGTGAAGCAGCTCCAAATTGAGGCAGACTTGTGGCTGATTTTTTCTGTCTTGGGAACTCTGTGCTCAGCATATCTGGAGTTTTATTCTGAAATAAGCTATCAGAGTTGCCATGCCAACAGTGTTGCTTAGGTCATGGAGGAGTGAGTGTGCTGCTTGTACAGTGCTCCCTGAAATGCTGATAAATCCCAGGAGATGGGGTGGTTTAGTTAGAGCAGAGGAAAACACATTTTTTTGCAAGGTTGCTCTGCCTTTCTGTGGCTAAAGATGGCCAGGGAATAGACAGGCTCCTTGTGAGAGAGGAGTGGAAGAGGCTGTTTGGAATTGCAGACAGTTCCCACAGGTTGAATTGCATGGAATCAAGGAATGCTGAGGGGTGGTGAGCAGCACGGATTGCACTTGGGCTGCAGAATGGCTCTGACCTTGGCTGTGCCATCATTTAGTTGGTGAATGTGTACAAACTACATTCCTGTTCGAACTGTAAGATTGTTTCTTTCTCCTGAAAGTCACTGATGCCACACTGGTAAATCTCTTGGTATGTCTTGGATGAAGACTTGTTACTTGCCAGAGGCAGCAGCTTTGCAGAGCAGGGAGAGGGAAGGTGTGGGTAGAACTGAACACCAGGCTAAGTTAGTTCTGAGCAACTTAGACAGAGTCTTGTTATGTAGGTTTAGATGATGTAGTTGAAATCTTAAAAGTACTTTTTTCTTTTTTTTCTATCTTGGAATCCATTTTCTCCTGGCTTAATGGCCACCTGCTAGAAACAGTGCTTTTAAGACTGGGTATTAACTATTTTAAGTAATGTTGTATATGCTATTTTGGAAGAACCGTGGATTTGATAGAACCTCTTGGTTTTTCTTTACAGATGTAGGTCTGCTTCCCCCACCAGCTGCTGCTCCATTTTTCTCTATATTTGATGAATCGTCTACTTTGACAAATCAGAACATAAGGTAGAATTATTCAAGGCCTAGATGATTTCAGAGGGAAGGAAAACGGAAGCACCAAAGCCCTTGCTGTGGCAGCTGAAATAACTGTTTCTTGCAGGGATGTGTGGGGGTGTGTGTTGTGTTTTGTTTTGTTTATATTGGTATTTTTTATTTAATTACTCATAGGCCATGATGAGGAAATGCTCTTCTGTTCTTCATCTTCAACCTAGGAGTATTTAAACTGCTCTATAACCTTCCCTCATTCTGGAGAACTGTATCTGTGGCTTCCTGTTAGTTCTGTAGTAGAAACTGGTTAACTGAGATGATCCATAGACTTAAACTCTAGGGAGGAATTTGTTGGAGCTGGGAAGCTGCTCCAATAAAAATGTAACTGACTGTAACTTCTTCTTAGTTGTTCAGCAGGTCGTAGCCGGAAAAGTGCCCGTCACCCTCTCGCTGTTCTTAAGCCTGTGGATTCTCTGAGTGCCAAGGAAAGCGCAGCAGCAGCAGCAGCAGCAGCAGCAGCAGCCTGTGTAAGGAAACAGTTCAGCCCATGGCAGATTTCCTGCCCAGGAGACACCAGGGCAGCCTGTGCTGCTGTCACACTGAGTCAGCTTGGCTGGACTGGCATCACGTGTAAAAGCAAGGCTTCCAAAGTGCTGCCTGGCACGGCAGTAATGGAACAGGGGTGATGATGAGATTATACTGGAAATATCATCTTGTGGCTGTGGCTGCCTCGTCCCAGGAAGTGTTCCAGGCCAGGCTGGATGGGGCTTGGAGCAACGAGTGGAAGGTGTCCTTGCCCATGGTGAGGGGGTGGAAGGCGATGGTCTTTGAGGTCCCTTCCATCCCAGACTGTTCTGGGGTTCTATGATAAATAGAGTTCATGAAGACTGAATGTCCTGTTCATGCTGGATGGAGGTGAAGTGGAAGAGAGGGAAGGGAAATATCCAGCTTTTAACTGAAGAAAAAATTAGTCATAAAATCTGCAGGCTTTCACTGTCTTTTTTGGGTTTTTTTTCAGAATGAGCTGAATGGAATTGAACGTTTGGCTGAGGATGCAATTGTGACAGGCTCCTACAAGAACAAGACCCTTTGTGCCAACCCAGAGGACACGTGTGACTTTAACAGGGCTGCCCACCTGGCCTCAACGCCCTTCCACGGGGTGGTGGCTCAGAGAGTCCCAGCTCCTGCTTTCTCTCAGAGTGAACTGAAGGAGGAAGATAGTCCAGAATCCAGGAGTGCACCTCAGACTCAGGAGACACCAGTGTGTGAAGGAGCATACACTGAAGCTCTCAGCGTAAAAAAACTGAGGTAATTAACAGTAAAAGAGCTTAAGCCCCTTCTCCTGCATGTCTTTCACTGTTGTGGTGTTGGTGTTGCTAAGGAAGGAGTTTTCTGAAAAGACCAGAATATCCTGGAGAGAGGCATTTCTTTAGCTCACGGTCCCCTTTGCCTTGAGCAGATTGAAGAGGTAATAGCAGTCCCCCTTGGCTTTTCAGCATTACTCCTGTGGGACTTAAGGACAAGTTTGTTTAACCAAATAACTTGCAGAGAAATTAATAAATGCATTCTGTCTTCATTATCAAACATGAAAAGCAGAATCACCACTTCCTTTTATACTTGCAGAGAGAAAGTGATTAATGGGACTGAGGATCATATTAATGCAGCCTTCTGTTTCTCTGAGCCACTGTGGGCGTGTCAAACTATTTATTATTAACGGATATCCAAAAAGTGAGGTTTTCTGTGATACGAAAACAGAACTCATCGCCAGTTTCATGAGGAGAGCGCCTCGGGAAAAATGACAGTATGAGTTTGAGTCAGAGAAATAACGTGGGGGATCATCAGATGCTAGCTGTTACCAGAAGAATAGAGCGGGAACACACGCGAGCGGGAAAAGGAGCGTGCCTTTTAGATGAGATTAACTGCGAGCGCATTATTTATAATATTACTTATTTTTTCCCGCCGGCGCTGCGGGTGAAGAGGAAACTACATTTCCCGTCATGCCCCGAGGCGACGCAGGACGGCGCCAATCAGGTGGGGCAGGGCGCGGCCAATGGGGAGGCGGGAGAGGTTTGAATTCCGAGGCGTCGCCGCCGTTACGGCTTTTGCGCTACTGGGGCCCTGTGTCGGTCCGGGCGGCTCGCTGGGAGCTGTGTGCGCTACTCCCGGCTGGGAGGGGTTCGTGGAACTGGGGCGGCCCCCGGTGCTAGAGCGGCCTGCGCTGCTGTGGTGTCTGTGAGCGGTGCGCGGCTCTGCTGTGGGGTGAAAGGTGTGCGGGGGCTGAGGGTTGTGGGGTCCCTGAGGGACCGAGGCGGCCTCAGGGGCTGTGAGATGCGCGGAGCTGAGGGCTGTGGGGTCCGTGAGGGGCGCGCGCGCCGCGGGCTGGGGGAGGGCGGCTCAGGAGTCTGTGAGGGGCTGTGTGCCGTGACGGGCCCTGGGGGAGCTGTAGGGTCCCTGAGAAGCTGCGAGGTGCTTGGGGCTGATGGTTGTGCAGTCCATAAGGGACTGAGGCGGCCTTCGGTACTGTGAGGTGCACGGAATTGATGCTTGTGGGGTCCTTGAGAGGCGCTCGGGGGTCCGTGAGGGGCTGAGGGGGGCTGTGGGATCCCTGTGGGGCTGATTAGTCGTAAGGTGTGT